AAAGAAAAGGACTACATAGAATATTTACCAATAGTTCAAGAACCATATTGAATAAATTAATAGTCTAGAGACGACATTGAAGAAATTTTCTACCAAATGATGTAAGAAAAAAGAACAAAAATTGTTCTCTACTGATATGAAAGTCTAACGAATCAAACTCAAGGTCCTGGTCTGATATCATACCGAGTCAGTATTACTGAGGCCTTGGATATGTAGTTTTCCTTTGGATCGCCACACACATTCTCTGCTCTGTGTTGCTGCATCTATCCCAAATAGAAATCTGAAATTACAAGACGCAATGCTCAGTTGTTCGGCCCCGTTACTTCCTGTTTCAGGGATGATCTTGGTACCCTCATAGTCATCTTTCCTGCTTGTTTAATCAGGTAAAGTTTTCAGAGCTCACTCTTGACACTTTCAGGATGCTTCAGCGTTTGGAGTGGGAACCAAGTGGCTCATTTCACCAGTCACTGGAACTAAACTTGGTGCTTCCGCACGTACTCGCATGAACCACTCTCTCAGGGTAGTGTTGATCATACTTTGCCTCCAAACCTGGGAAAAGCTGTTTTATATCGACCATCAGTGGCCCATTTTGTGGCAGTCAGTATATTACAGAGCCTAAATCCCCTCACGCATGCACACAGCCCAAGAAAGAAAAAATGATTAACCAAATTAATAGACAAGAAATCTTACTGGAATGCTACGGATGGAACATGTGATCCATGTTCAATCATGTTGATATCCAAAGTAAAGGCAGCCTGAAGCACAAGTTAAGATTTGGTTTGATTAAGTATTACAGATACTTCTTTTTCATGTCATCATGTTGAAGTAGAACGTAGAGGAGTCATCATTGTCACGCAGCAAGTATCGTGACAAAGTCGCACCATTCATGCAATATACCTAGTGGTTATAAACCAACAATTTCCTCGATGATTTATAAAGCCTGAGCCAATTGTTTAGCAGTGATGGGGAAGCCAACTCAGTTCACATCCAGGCAAAACATGACCACACTCCAATTGTAGTTTCCAAGCATGTAGTAGAGAGTGGCATGTAAGCTAAAAATATGTTAATCACAGTAAAGCTTACTCACAAGGGGCAACTTGAAACAAGTATCCACACTTTGAAATACTTATTTGACATACAAACAATTGGAAAGCGGCAAAGCATGCGTTTTCAGGAGGGTAATTTTTCGTACTTCGTTTGTTCTGATCTAAGGACGAGATGAATTACGGTCTTTCACTACCACATATAAACTGCAAGAGCAAAGTCACAGAGACACAAAACCCTCCGTATATCACACAAGGCATTCTAGGCAATTGCTTACTTCTGCGTCCAGCTTCTTCCAGTGGCCTCGTGCATGGTTCTGTCATTCTTGTAGATGTGCGCCATTTCCGGTACCAGAGGGTCATCTGGATTTGGGTCCTTCAAGAGTGAACAGATCGAGAGCAGTACCTGGAAATCGGAAGTATAAACCTTTGTCCACCCAGCTGTAGAGGTCACAGTACCAGATAGCGATCACAACAAAGCAACATTAACACTTCTGAACATATAGAACCAAACAATTTCTTAACCAAAAAAAAAAAAAAAAAAACAATCTATGACATTGTAGGATGCAAAGTAGCATTTAGGATAGTTACAAAAACATTTGGTACAAGTTTTCTCCAAAGGACTTCCTTGAAAAGAATCATCTACCAATTGCTGGAGACTAGTTTTAAAGTCTTTGACAAAACTTTTGAGGTCTTTAGGGAAAGCCTTGAACAAAGCAGCGTGAAACTGGTGTTTGGCCGTCAAGTAACGATGCAGCTTCCAGGAACTAAGTTGCAGTTTGATAAAATTGTTTTTCAATGTATATATGGGGAAGACATACATTCAAAGTACGAGAGAACCAAGGCCAGAAATGCACCATCTCAAACGAGCTTTGATATTTACCACTGGAAATAAAAATGTACAACTTGTTTTCAAGTCATCGGCAAAGAACATCAGTACTTGGATGCCTCAAATAATATCTCGAAATTTTGATCCAATATGTAATATGGTCCCCAAAAGTTGAGGGACCACATTAAACAAACTAAAAGTTCAAGGATTACATTGCACATTCGACCAAAATTCATGGACTATTTGTGTCATTTTCCTTTTTTTTTTGGAAATGGTCCTCCTATAGAAGAAAACGTACCTTACTTCACGATTAAGTAATATAAATTCATTTATTTATGTTTTATTGATGTCCACCGTCTGAGCACCACCAGATAATTTTCAACCCATTGATTTTTATATGTATATAAGTGTTGCCGGTTCTAACATGAAGGGGTTCAACTGAATTAAATAACTAATTAAATTTGATAGTGTCGGCATCTAACAATCCTAAGAAGAAAAAGGGCATAAAATTGTTCACATGCGAGGGAGGTACTAACTGTGAGCTGATTTATTTGTCTGTCAAGTAAAATGCCAACGAGACAATTGTTCGTGCCTCAAGATCATGAAATGTCATTACGTACACTAGAAACATGTTAGTATAAGTAGACAAAATGTTAGCAAATGCATTGATGGAGCATATACAGACTGATTCTGCTATCTAATTAAATCAGGGTTTGTCCCTTGAAAAATTAAGTAGGGATATAAAGCCATGCGTCTTACAAACAATCTAAGATTATAGCACGAAAAAAAAATAAAAAAAAATGAAAGTGTAGTGATGGAAAATTTAACATATTCACTTATTTTTAGAGCATCTGAAAAGAGAAAATCATTTTTGCGAAAACGAAAATTAGGTCAGTACGAAATCATGGACGACTCATAAAGCACATTTTTTTCTTTATTCAAAACCCTATCGATAGATCTTCAATTATAGCATACCTAGACCACATTCCTGCGATGGGATTCCTTAATCAATAAGTCAAAACCACCCACCTACACCGGATAGCCTCATCTTGAACTTTAGACTCCTACAATTACATTATTAAAAAAAATTTTCAGTCTGAACACAACATTATAAGAGAAGTCAACGGAAACGATAACAACATCGTAGATATACGCGGTTCCGCGGCTCCGTCCGAGCGTTGATTTCTTTTAGAAAAGTTACTCAAATGAGGAAACTACTTAAAATTGGAAACCACACAAATTAGGAAACCTACTTTGATTGGGTTTCTTTTATGGAATTAAACTCAAAATATATTTTCAACATATTACATCAAATATCCCCAAGATTGCAATGTTCTCAAGATTTTCACCGTTTCCATTTCATCTCATAAAAACCATATGCTAAATAATTTGTAATCAAAATAGGAAACCACTTTTAGAAAAGTTACTCAAATTAGGAAATCACTTATGTTAGAAAACCTACTTAAACTAGTATCGGGATTCTTTTATGGGCTCAAACTCGAGATATATTCTCAACAGGTTATATCAAATATTCACAAGTTTGGAATGTTATCTAGATTTTCACAGTTTCCATTTCAGGAAAATCATCTGCCAAATAATTTTATCCAAGATAAGAAACCAATCAAACTAGGAAAGCACAAGATTGGAATGTTCTCGACACATATTCCTTTTACGGGTTCGAATTCGAGATATACTCTTAAAAGGTTATATCAAATATTCATTCTCTAGATTTTCACAGTTTACTTTTTCAACTCAGAAAATTGTTTGCCAAATAATTTGTATCCAAGATAAGAAACCCCTTTTAGAAAAGTTACTCAAACTAGGAAACTGCTCAAACTAAAAAACTTACTTGGATCAAATTTTCTTTATAGGCTCAAACTCAAGATATATTCTTAACATGTTACATCAAATATCCCATAAGATTAGAATGTTCTCAAGATTTTCACTGTTTCCCTTTTAAATTTTCTGCCAAATGATTTGTAGCAAGAATACAAAACCCCTTTTGGAAAAGCTACTCAAACTAGAAAACCACTCAAACCTACTTGAATCGAGTTTCCTTTATGGGCTCCATCTCAAAACATATTCTCGACATATTACAATAAATGTCCACAAGATTAGAATGTCCTCAAGATTTTCACTGGTTTTTCATTTCAACTCATAAAAATTGTCTGCCAGATAATTCGTATCCAAAATATGAAATCATTTCTAGAAAAGCTACTCAAACTATGAAACAAATCAAACTAGGAAATCACTCAAATGAGGAAATCTACTCAATTTAGGAAACCTACTTGGATCAGGATTCCTTTATGGCCTGAAACTCGACACAAGTATTCACAAGATTTAAACGTTTTCTAGATTTTCACTGGTTCCCACTTCAGCTCAGGAAAATCATGCCAAATAATTTGTATCAACCCCATTTGGGAAAGCTAGTTAGACTAGGAAATCAATAAAACTAGGAAATCACTCAAATTAGGAAATATATCCAAGTTAGGAAATTTACTTGGATCGGGTTTCTTTTACGGGCTCTAACTTGAAGCATTTTCTCAATATGTTACATCAAATGTCCACAAGATTCGTATGTTCTCAAGATTTTCAATGTTTCCCTTTTCAACTCATAAAGAAATGTTCAGCCAAATATTTTGTATCAAGCATAGGAAACCTTTGGGGGAAAGGTTTTTTTTTTTTTTGGTCTGTCTTTTTAGGAAAGTTACTCAAATTAAAAAATCATTCACACCTATTTGGATTGGGTTTTCTTTATAGGCTCAATCTCGAAATATATTCTCAGCACATTACATTAAATATCCACACAAGATTGGAATGTCCTCAAGGTTTTCGCTATTTCCTGTTTCAACTCATAAAAATCATCTGCCAAATTAATACTCGTCCACCCAAAATATCCCCCAACTAGAACCAAAAAAAGAAAAAGAAAAGTCTATCCCCTACTTTTTTTTTTTCTGTTTTTGGCATGACGTACAAACAACTGCTTCATCGAAAAAAGACAAAGTTGCGTCGAGTTGAACCCCGCCGACCTATCCTGACCGTCCATCACGCGTTTATGGCCTCCCGCGTTGGCACATTGGATGTGAAACTTTGCCTGTGCCAACTCTCCCTATAAGTACACCCCTCCCTCTCAAACGATGTCACAACACATACCATACCCTTCAGCTGTCATCCTTTACCTGATTCATTGTCAATTCTAGCATCCCCCAAAGAAACAACCACCAACCATGGCCGAAGGACACCGCCACCACCACTTCCACCACCAGAAGGATCCCGCCGTCCCAGAGCCTGAGGTCGATTACAGGAAGAAGGAGAAGCACCACAAGCACCTCCAGCAACTCGGTGAACTCGGTGCCGTCACTGCCGGCGCTTTTGCCTTGGTAATAATTATCATCTTCTTCTCAATCTTGCAATTTTTCCCCACTTTATATATAGATAAAATTTGCATCTTCACCTTATATACCTGAACCATCAGCTTGATCACAAGCATTGGATGCGAAGGATCTCAATTAGACTCGCATATTTCAACCGGACATGATGATGGCATGCCATGCGAGAATGGATCATCCTTATAAATGACAATAGTTTGAATTCAATCAATTTCATTCACCGATAAACTAGAGGAATAAGATTTCCCCAGAATTGGCTCTAACAAAAGACAGTTGTAATCCATAAGAGTATTTACATGATCAAATACTTCTGCTCAAAGTGAATAGATTATTATTTTTTTTGTTGAATTTATACCATGCTCAGAGCCTGTTTAAAAAAAGTGTACATAACTTCTTCTTTTTTCCTCTTTACCTTAACTCATTTTGTTTCATTCACACAATTCCCAATTAATGATGTGCAAATTGCAGCATGAGAAGCATGAGGCCAAGAAGCACCCAGAGCAGGCCCACAGGCACAAGATAAAGGAGGAAATAGCCGCTGCTGCCGCCGTAGGGGCCGGTGGGTTCGCCTTTCATGAGCACCACCAGAAGAAGGCGGCCAAGAAAGAATATGAAAAGTCTCATGGCAAGAAGCACCACCATCACTTCTAAACCATGGAGGATCTCCGCGTCTCTCTCTTCTTACTATGTGTCTTATTTATTTAATTTCATTTCTCTAACCAAGTACGCTTCAAGCTCAGAGACCGCCCTCAATAGTTCCTGTACTTTGCAGAGGGTGGTTCTTGAATCTTGAAGCTGCTGCTGTGAATGCTTCCTGAGAGAGTGAGCCTGTGTGTTTGGGCTTTGTCTTGTACCGGTTGTATCTTGGGTGTCTAATAAAATTATCCTATGATGATCTCATTTCTTGCATTTGCCATATTGTTTTAGGTACAACGACTATATTGAATATTATTTATCAAAACCAATCAGCTCGGAGTCTCCGCTAGAATGGATCCGCACCCAGTTAGTTAATGTTAATTCACTAGAAAGGGGTTGGGTGAGATTTAGAGAATCACCTGATCGCAATGTTATATACAATTATAATCCAAAAGTTATGTCAAAAAGCTGTGAACGATTGCGTCTCTAACGCGAGGACACGTACATATTAGCAAATTTATCTAATAATAGTCCATCACGATATCTTCATTGTGACCCCACTATGCGCATTGACATTTTCCACTAATTTGGTGGGATCATGTGGGCACCTTTGTCAAAAAAATGTGGACGCATGTCATTATCATCATCCATTATTGTGAGATTTGCTAAATCAAACACCAGGTCATGCGAGACATGATCTCATACTGTTTACACCCGAAATGACTAGACCTTCGACCTGGACAAGCATATGAACAACACGGATGCAGCCCATATTAAGGTCAGCACACATTCAAGTTCGATGACACTCTCGTCAATAAGCCTTACATCAAGAGACCTCATCGACAATTAAAGAACCTCATCGATAAGTGAAAAATCTCATCTTTGACTTTGTCATAAAGATTTTGTTATTACTCATGCATTAGAAACTTGCAACAAGACTCCTTGAGACGGCCTCAAGCATTAGAAATATTTTACTTTTGATAGTTTCTAGTTTCTATGAGCTTTAATAATTCCTAGTTTCTAGATTTGACTTTAGTCTTTTGCTTTTCTTTTATTTTGCTAAAAAATGCCATGAAGTTTATGTAAAATCAGACTAAATTTGATAAATTAAACTTGTTTAGTGCAAGTCTCTTGAACCTCGAACAGTTCATTCCACTTAAAAATCTAGAAGAGTTTTCATTTTGTCCTTGAAAAGTTGGAGCTTTTAAAGTCTACATCATTGAAGAGTTGCAGCCATCGATTTAGAAGAATTGATGCCGTTTCAACTTCACTGGAGGCCTAGAAGAGCAACCACTAAAGTTCCAATCCTTTTTTTTTGCATCCTGACCGTTCACGATCGTCTACTTCCTTCTTCCAAAATTGACAACTCTACAGTGCTTATATGAACTCAAAACACAAAAGTTGTAGATCCGGAAGTCTTCATTCTTTTGGCTTTGGAATTGGGTCATTCCGATCTATATCAACAAAGTTATGACTATTTTCCCGAACTAACGCATAACTGAAATTTATGCTCGTTTTTGTGATGGAATTTCTGTGTTTACAAGTCACTCTCTCAATCCTATTGTTTTAGTAGTCAACCTTGGGCTGCATCCAACATGTGGACATTGTTGAGAAAACCTCCTAATATATTTTAAAGTTGACAAAACTGTCCAAGAGTTATTATAAGTCTGACAAATACTTCTGAAGATTTTCTAAGTTCAGGAAGTCATTTTCTGGAAGTCCAGACTTTACAAAGATCATAAGGAAAAGTTTAAGTTCTGCACAACAAAAGACAAAGTTCAGACTTTACATGAATCGGAAGGAGAAGTTTAGATTTTATATCGCAAAGATAAAGTTCATACTTTATAGACAACATATGAAGAACTTCATAATTGAAATCGAAAGGACAACCCATCCTAACTTAAATTCTAAAGGCGAGTCAAGAATCAGACTTTATCTAGATTTTGATGCTAATTCAAAATCAACACAACGGCTCGTAATCTGGCTTGGATTTCACAAATGGAAAGTCTTGATTGTTTCAATCCTAAAGGCTATTTTGCAAGGGATATTTGTATAGCAAAATATCTTAATATGATTGACAATCAACAAAGACAAGTTTCCTTCCACACGGAGAAGCTCTTCTTATGGAAATCAAAGTTCTTGTTGTATGGGCGATCAGATTCAGTGGAATTCAGACTTTGTCGCTCAACGGCTACTTGATCATTTTTATACAAATCTGTCCAAGTTGAAGAATTGAAAGATGATCCTCTGAAAATTGTCCAACGGCTAGTTTGAAAATCGAAGAGTATAAAAGGAGACATTTTGAGGAGCAGAAGCAGAGACAAAAATCCAAAATCATCCATTCCAAAGTTTGAGCAAACTTCGACCTGTGTTACTTGTTTTTCTTGAGCTAAAATCTGTGATCTTGAGAGACCTTTTGTAAGAGTGATTAAGTGAGATAGAGTGTCCTATCCTTCATAGAAGAATATCACTCAGAATCTATAATCTCGTTATTGATCATCTAGTTGAATCTAGCCAGTAGGCTGTCAGCGTGGGAGAGTGGACGTATGCTTGATCTAAGCTGAACCACTATACATCTATGTGCAAATTTTCTCTTCCCTATAACTCCTTTTATTGCACATTTATTTGTTTGTCATTCAAATATTGATCAAAATCTGAACATTGTTCAGACTTTACTTGAGATCAATTACTTCCGCATTAAAATTAATTAATTAGCATTCAAATCACCTATTCACCCCCCTCTAGGTGATATTTGCTAGTCTCATCAGACATAAATAATCACGTGACTAATGTATGAGGATTATCATGCACCTGATACCTTGCCGTCGATCATAGGGATTAATATTGATATTTACAATTAGTATTGACACACATCGGCGGCACATATCAACAAAAATTGACAATTAGTGTTTGATATACGATGGAAAATTGCTGAAAACTATCGATATGGGTACCGATGAGTGAGGGACAGCAAGCCATCAAAACACTTTGGAAGCATGAAGAACGTAGGAATGTGGTTACAAAGTCAAGATCACAAGGAATGGAGCAATTGAGGATCGAAGACCAATCGGCAAGTATATTTCGTATATTTTGGAGGACAATTACATAGAAGCGGGGTTATAAAGCAATTATCATTTAGAGGCAAGATCATGGAATCACAAGATCACGAGGCAGTTACCGATGAGCTGTTACCACTTGGAGCAAGGCCATGGAATGGTTGTGGTTTGGAACAAGATCATGGAATGACTAGCAAGAGCTGGCGTACGCTTTTGAAGGAACAACCGTTTAGAAACAAGACTAACAGATATGGGCACAAAACTTTTGGAAGTGGAGGAGCATGGAGGTAATTGTTGAAAACTGATCAAGAAGAGTGCAACCACTGAAAACTATTAGGAAGTGGTTATCACACAACTATTATAATTACCATTAGTCATCTACTAGGAGGCCCCCCGCACTAATCAAACAAATTTACTATCTTTTCAGTACCTTTATCTTCTTGCACTGTAGTTTATTTCGTAGTTGTAGCTTTTAGGTTCGCGTCATCGATTAAATTCCGGTGTGCATCTTTATCCTAAGTGCTTTGTTGTCGATTAAATTCCGGCATAGTATCTTTTTTTATTAGGCTGTGTCGTCGATTAAATTTTGGCTTGATTTGTTTACATCCAGTTACTTCATCAAGTCTATATCTTTCGGACCTTGTTGTCGTTTAAACTACGGTATGGTTTGTGTTTGTATAGTCTTGTTCTTATTTAAGTTGTTGGTTCCTTTTGCTTGTGATAACTCCTATCCAGAGTTAGCACAAAACCCTGATTTCCTTAAATAAAAATCGTAAGACGATTTTTGATGAATGATACTTCGTCGCGGGATAAATTCTGGCAAAAATCTTTTCGACATGCTTGGTGGGACCAGCGTGGCTGATTTGAGAGGCTACTAAGGCACGTACGAGGAATCAAGTTAATCCCGACAATGTTGGTGATAACAGTTCACCATCATTGCTTGACAATGAAAGGGTATGATGTTTTGAATCATCAAATGCACATGTGGTGGCAAATCAAGCACAAGGTGATATATGTCGACATTCCAAGGCAACTCATCGACAAGCAAATGAGACAATTGGAGCCTAGCTTAGTCATGATGGCTACCATGAGGAGGATTTTTTATAAGCATCATAATAATTCGACTAACTATATGGTGAAGTACATTGCTGATGTAATTAAGCCGCTGATCGTCAATACTCTCCATGAATTTGCAAGTGGCCAAGGAACTTCGAGTAATTCTGTTCAAATGCAAGTCTGCCCTGCTAATCCTACACCTTCCTGATATCTTCCTCCATCCACTGCTACTCAAATTACATTTCGTAATGTAGGACAAGCTATACCTCCCCCACCACTACTTATGATTTTGCAAAGGGCTGAGACCCTCATTATGACCCAGACCTATGGGAGAATGTTTACCAATAAAAATAATTTGCCAAATCATACTCAAGTTAATTTTGGTGGAAACACTAGTGGCAATGTGACAAATCATAGCACTCAACAAAACATGCCATTACAAAATATGGAAAATGTACGACCAGTCAGCGTAATGCTACAACCCAACGTAGCACCTATGTTATAAAGGCCCAATGCTGTCAACCCCGCCTAAAAGGTAGGACATTCCACAATTATCACAACCAATCCCACAACCATTGCCACATCAATTACCACAATCAACACCAAAACCATTACCATAGCCATTTCCATAACAGTTACCACAATACTTACCACAATCGCTGCCGTAGCCTGTTCCTTGAGCATAATCCGCTGTAGTGCCTGTTGCGATGGTTCGTGGACAAAATCAGCACAAAACTCAACTAATACTTGAACAGATGATGCAACAATATGGGAATTATATGAAATATGTCAGACCTGTGTAGAGAAAACTATACTCGGACTTGATGGATATAATACCCCATCCGAGAGGTTTCAATATACTTGAATTCAACCTTTTTTTTGGTGTAGATTATCAATCGACATTGGAACACGCTAGCCGATTTGCTGCTATGTGTAGCGATGCAACACATGGCAATTGTTGGAAATTAAGATTGTTTCCATTATCGTTGTCTAAAACCGCTCTTACTTGGTATACAGCACTACCGGCTAACTTTGTTCACTCTTGGGAACAAATGGAAGCATTGTTAGTTCCAGAGGTCTATTCTTGATGTAACTGTCATAGATCTGGCGATTATGAAACAACAAAATAATGAGTCGGTAGATCACTTCATA